CCTGCTGAATCGTGACGTCACACGCTATAAGCCAATCACACTTTCTTTTCGCTCCTCTGTTTTTTAATAATTTTTAATAATTTTTTGGCCGTAAATGAGTATTGCTAATATTGATAAATGGATCTTATGAACAATGCAGATAATTTAAATCTATAAATATAATTTTTTTATGACTAAATATTCACTATTTTATTAAAATAAGTTAGGTTAGGTCGGTGACAGCTGTTGTTGACAGTTGATTTAAAATTTACATAAACCGATGTGAAATGGCAGAAAATTTGCAGAAACGAGTAATGGCAGAGAAAAAAAGAAATTACAAGTGGTGTTTTGTGCCTTCATGCACTCAAAACAATATCTGTTCTCCATCAACAATTTTCCTGTCAGTGCCAAAAGGAGAGATTCGAAGAAAATGGTTCGAAATCTCAGGCCGAACTGATGCTTCAACTATATCGCTGACTAGTAGTTTGTTTTGTTGTGAACACCATTTCAATGTAAGTCATATACCTAAAATATAATAAATTAATCCTAAATAATTCAAAATAAATTGATTTTATGTTTGCAGTTAGAGGAGGATGTTGAAAATTACATGCAAGTCAGGTTCATTCCAAACGTACTCATTCGCTTAAAGAATGGAGTTATGCCGACAAAATTTGCTTGCCAGCCTCATCGAGAAACATCAGATGCAAGCAACATTAATGTTATTAATATTGGTATCATTCAAATAAAAATTAATATTATCGAATTACATTATATGTGAATATAATAAATAATGTAATACTTACAGATCGTCAGTAATACTTACAGCTGCACAGTCTTCGCATCGAACATATTCGACCTTGTCTATCTCTTCGTTAACAAGCATCGATACAGAGTAAGGTTTATTATTTACTCTATGTTCAGGACATATTTTCCCTCGGACTTGGCAGAAATTACCTTCACGTTTTACTTCAACGTATCCCACAGCTGCATCACCATAATCTTTATCTTCAGCCCTGTAAAATACAGATATTGATTGTGGAACTATATTAAACTTTTATATATATTGAATGTATGTAAAGTGTGTAAACACCTTTTAGCTTTAACACCTCTTGTCTCTGCCACGTTAAAAAATTCATTTTCACTAAAAAAGTCAGCAACCATTAAAACGTTTAATTTTGGTAAATTATCCGATTGAGCTTTAACAAAACCTGTAATATTTCTCGCCATGTTGTAACTGATTACTTAGGGTGCGTTCCGTTTCTTGCATGATGTGCATAATGCATCATTTATCCTTGTTTAACATTCGGTGAATAACAAGGATAAAAGATGCATTATGCGCATCATGCAAGAAACGGAACGCACCCTTAGTAATTCGCATGATCCGTTAAATATCACATTTGTTTTGTTTATATATCTTATGTATGTGTCATTTACATGAAGTATGTATTTACAACGTTTAAACTTACCGGGCTCTGCTGAATCGTGACGTCACGGCCAATCATATTGCGTTCACTCCCCACTCATTTTTTAAGCACTTTTAATCGTTTTTAATAAAAAATCCTATTATTAATATCACTTTAAATTACTTTTAAGTTAATAAAAAGCGTATAAAGTAATTAATTATAATTTTTTTACACATTTCAATTTTTACAAATAAGACCCTATTACAGAAGTTAGATTTGATGATCATAAAACCATAAAGGTAAATTTTCACGAGTTGCTCAAATCGGTTGTTTCAGCGACAAAAAGGATCACGTAATCAAAATTGACGAATATCATTCGTCAATTTTGATCATGTGATCCTTTTCCACGGTGGAACTATCATGCGTCGAAACCGTCGAATCTGGTTCATTTTGGCTTGTTCTGTCTGAAGAAACGTTGGTGCATTGCATTTATTAGTTTCCGCATTTTCGCGCTTCATGTAATGGCACCCTTACGCCAAATCATAGTGGAACTTCCACCATGATTTGGTGTCAGGGTGCCATAAAGCTCATTCTACAATGAGCAGTAAAATGACGGACACTCAATGGCTCAGTTCCAATCTGACCTGGTTGCGGAGCCAATAAAACGAAGAAGAAGAAGAATGAGCAGTAAAGGCCATCACACGTACAAAAATTTTAGTTGTAATCATAAGGCCGTAAGCAAATCGGCCAATCACAGTCGAGCGTTTTAAAACACAAGATCGTAATTTTGATTGTGATTGGTCGATTTGCGACCTTACGATTACGACTAAAATTTTTGTACGTGTGATGGCCTTAAGGGTATATCCACACAAACTTACATACCTGCATAAACGTATGCATAAAAAAAATTACCCAATCGCATTTCTCTTATAAAGACACACATAAAATATGATTGGATAATTTTCTTTATGCATATGTTTATGCGGCTAAGCAAGTTTGTGTGGATATACTCTAAGAGTATAGTAAGGCTGTAAGACACATCGGGAGTAAGCTGGGTTTCCAGTATAACAGGGCGTAAAGTAAGTCAGTAAGTGAATGGTTGAAATCTATTTCCTACGTTCTACTCTCTCATTGCTTACGGACTTACTCTCTATGTCCTATATACCGGAAAATCAGTTTACTCCCGATGTGTCTCACAGCCTTACAACCACTCCTACTGCTCATTGTAGAATGGGCTTAAGGCGTTGTCTACAATATGCGAAGTAAGCTTGATTTTAAGAAGTAAGAGTAAAAAATTGACCAATCATAATCAATTATTCTTCTCACATTCGACTATGATGGGTCAATTTCTTACTCTTACTTCTTAAATCAAGCTTACTACGTGTATTGTAGACGGACCATTACATGAATGCGTGGTCTACAATGAACAGTAGCAGTAGAGACTGTAACCATGTCGGGAGTAAGCTGGTTTTCCAGCTAAGCCATTAATGGTTAGTCGATGAACGTCAAATCGATGTTGATTCAACGTCACATTCAATGGCACTTCAGCTTTAGCATTGAAAATCTTGGCGTGTTCTTTTGAACTTGCACTATTCAGTGCAACCTATGGAACTCGTCCAGTATTGATGTGAACTGAGTGCGCACTGGAGCGCACTAACTTTTCCCAATCAAAAACGCTATTAATAAATAAATTATATACTCATATGCATATTTTTAGTGTTTATTGTTTTGTATTATCGATTATCCTATGTAGCGTAACTGTAGGGATTTAAAAATTATTTTGTGGAGATATTTTGATAGGAACTAATTTTTGATCTCTGGCAACACTGCTTCAGAGAGCACGCGCAGAGAGGCACTTTCGTAGGCTGTACGCGATGAACTTTCGTGAATGGCTGCGTTCAGCAGAACGTTTGTTTTGAAACTGTTGGAAGTTTCCTTCGCGCTGATTGGATCATACTTTTAGATCTAGAAGAATGGTCCTATCTCAGCAGACAATCATAAAACGGTTGCAAAACTGTTGAGTCTGCTGAACGCAGTCATTGTAGCTGGAGAAATACCTTAACGAAGCATCGTAAACAAAAAAAAATGGATGATGAAGAGATAATACAATTGCGTGCTCTGAAAGATCAACTCCAGAAGAAGGTTACTTATTTGAGAGACAGGTTGAAGGATCAAGAAGAAAATGGACGTAAAGAACAAATCAATTTCAACATGTAATCAACTTAATATAAATGCGTAAATTGGTAATTATTCAGAAGAACTGCCTTTAAACCGATTTCGATGAAATTAGGCTCATTTTTTACGCGTTTTTGCACAAAATGAAAAAATCTGCCAGAAAAAAATGGAAGACTGCCCTATGAAGCGAGATATTGAGTGTTAAAGTTGATGATTATTGAGGTTAGGAAATCTACCACACCGACTTAATACAGCTATGTATGTATATGTATTTCGGTCGATATTTATTTAGAATCGTTACCTCGCTTCTGATTTTAATGAAATTAAGCTTATTCGACACGTTTTCACTCAAAACGAAAGCCTATTCTTGCTATGTGCGAAAAGTCGTAAACTCGTGTGGAATCGTTCAGATGTTTACAACTTTCCACGCGAATCGCGATTCTACGTTTGGCAGTTTGCAGGTTTCCAAGTTTGCACGCAAAGCGAGATTTAATTAAAAAAAGAATTAACTTTGAATTTACGAAAGGAGGAGCAGAAACCCTTTGCATGTACGTATATGTATACTTAACGATTGCCGAAAGTTCCATCCCCTCTCCTCTCTCGTCGCCGCGCGCACGCGGGATCTTGTCCTCGAAGTAAGGGCACGCCGTGCGAGTTTTCCCTGATTCCCTCCTTGGAAGGAATTGGCTGAGTCGGTTGTAGAACAAGTCTTCTTGAAAATAGATAGAGGAGATCTGACAATAGGCTGTTGTTGCAATACCATTTATCTAGATACAGTGAACGCTAAAGTCAGGTTATCTTCTTCTTAACAACTAATTTAAAAAAGGACATGACTTTAGCGTTCACCGTATCTGAATTCACGTTATTGCAAAAACTGTTTTTTTTTCTCCATGGCTATCGCTTTCTTATTTATTTAAATTTATATTGACATAATAAATTATGTCGATATAATAAATTTTAATATTTAAGTATCAATCAAGTATAGGGGAGAGTGGTCTAAATTGGACCTATTTGCAGTTTCTGCTCTCTATAAGGCGTAAATAAAGTCCGATCGTAAAATCGAAGCTGCCGTTGGAAAGATCATTTAATTCCCTTCATTTTTGCTTCAGATAGATTATTTTGACGTATCTCTCACCTGTGTTAAACTATAATGGAAAATGTAAAAACGCTCTTTCCAGTCCGATTTGGAATCATCGGTTCCAAATCGGACCATCCCCTGGTTCAAATCGAAAACTCTTATTTTTATGGATTTTTAGATAAAATTTTAAAATATTTTAATGTCTCTCTTAGTATTGAGTAAAAACGAGCAATTTGACAGTCAGATAAAAATTTTTTCGGAAAAAAAAATTACTATTTATATTATTATAGAATTGAAATCAATAAAACTCAACTAATCTGAGTCTGATGACTCATAATATTTTACTGATTTAATTGCTTGGACCAGATCTGGTCAGCCAATCACCAGTACTACAACCAGGTCTATATAAGTTATTCACTGTACTGTCTGATTTGGACACGAGTCCTTTCGAATTTTGGAACAAATTTTACAATAAACCGCAAAAGTGATCACGAAATGCTTGATATTTTTTAATTCTACACTCTTTAATTATCTTAAATCAATTACTTTTCAAATTTTTAACACCTTTTAAATAATGATTTACAAGGATTTTCTTTTTTAAAAAAATTTTCGTAAGATGACTGAAAATACATATTTGCCTCCATTTTATGAATGTTATGACAAAGAACTGTCAAACTGCTATCGCATGTTCGGTGTCTTATAAGGACTTTACATTATAAATAGTACGCAAATCTGCTTAACCGTATTCATTTAAATTAAAAAGGTCCTATTTGGAACACGGTTCGATTTAGACCACTCTCCCCTATATTTAAATATCATTTTTAAAGTACTAAAAATAGCTGGAAACTTTTTGGTAATATTTCAAAAAGATTGCAGATTCTTTCTGTAACGTTTCATCAATCTTTCAATAAGGTTTCATGTGCAAGAATCGCGGACATTTTGCTATTCCAAAGCTGTCTCAGAAATGTTGCAGACATATTTCGCAATTTTTATGAAATGTTTCAGTTGAAACTTTCCAGTTAAAATATTTCTGAGATATTTCAGAAAACTAAGTGCTGTATGGGACTTCCACCATGTGTGGAACCGCACTTCGCATGGAAAGTTGACCTCTGAACGATTCCACACGAGTTTACGACTTTTCGCACATAGCAAGAACAAGCTTTTGTTTTGAATGAAAACGCGTCGAATGAACCTAATTTCATTAAAATCAGAGATGAAATAACGATTCTAAATACGACTAAAATACGCGTATGTACATAGCGCTGCATTAAGTCGGTGTGATAGATTTCCTATCCTCAATTATCATCAACTTTAACGCTCAATATCTCGTTTCACAGGGCAGTCCCGGATTTTTTTCTGCCGGATTCTGGTAATTGTTGAGTTTAGGGGCCTAACTTCGGATCTTGATAAAATTAATTTTATTCGACACGTTTTTACATGAACTGGACGAATATGATAAAAAAAGTGTCGCTCTGTCCCACGAACCGAGATATTAATTGTTAAAGTTAACAGATATTCAGGTTAAGAAATCTGTCGCATCGATGGCATAGAGCACAGGTAAAAAAACTTTTAACGATTTCGGACTAGTGTCCATGAGACCGAGCATCGCGCGCTATGACAAAACAGCAATGAAATGAGGAGTAGGAACGGTAATGGGCATGAATACCAACACATTTCAATTTCAGATAAAAAAACACCGACCTTGGACAGCTCTGGCATAAAGGGTTACATAAATCCTCTGCTTTATAAACACAAATTCTCTGCTTTAAAAACAAATTCTCTGCTTTAAACGCAAATTCTTCGTTTTAAAACACAAATTCACTATTAATACAAAGAATTTGTGTGCTTAAAACACTGAATTTTTAACGCAATAAATTTGTATTTTTAAAGCAGTGAATTTGTAAAACAGTAAATTTGTATTTTTAAAGTAGTGATTTGTGTTTTTAAAGCAGTGAATTTGTGTTTTTAAAGCAGTGAATTTGTGTAATTAAAGCAGGACGTATATATAGGGCGGAATCCATAGATGTTGCTCAAGATTCAAGATGGTCTTAAGCTAGTGCATGAACCAATCAGAGACCGTATTAGTATCTTAAGATATTGGGTGCATTCAGTACCACGACCGCTCAATGATAACGCTCGCTGAGTAAAAAAGGGATTAATCAATAATGTCATTGAGCTGTCGTGGTACTGAATGCACCCATTGCTTGAGATTAAGACCGGACTATGGATTCCATCCATAGAGTTGTATCGAATCAGGATGACAGTTATCTTAATCTCTAAAATCTCGAACTTTAACACTTAATAACTCGATTTACGAGACCGTTCACTGAGTTTTTTTGTCAGATTCTTTCATTTTGAATGGCAATGCGTCAAATGAATACATTTTTATTAAGATTCTAAGGAGGAACCGTATTCTAAATAATTACTATTTTTTTAAAGCTGAAAATTGTTTTTGAAACCGAGAATTTTTGTAATTGAAGCAAAAAGATCTTTACTTCTATGGTCTCATATCCCTCTATACCACCAATGTGACAAATTTCTTAACCTGAATATTTATCAGTTTTAATAATTAATATCTCGGTTCGTAGGACAGAGCGACACTTTTTTTGCCAGATTCGTTTATTTTATGCAAAAACGCGTCGAATGAACTTAATTTCATCGAAATCCGTTTAGAGGCAGTTTTTCTGGATAATTACCCATAAAGTTTTTATTTTCATCTATGAATAAACTATGATTTATGAATGATTGTAGCACGCTGTTTTCTGATGATGAAGATCACAAACTGTCAGAATCCTTATCTACCAAGTACAAAGCTAAATTATGTGAAATTACAGCTCAAGTAACCGGAATAACATTCAAAGATGTTGATAGAAAATGGTTACATGATGATATTTATGTATATATTGCTAAAGTAATAACAAAAACAATTTCATTTGATATTGAATTAACAGTGATTTTGAAGGTATACAAGGAATATACAAAAAGGATTGGGGCTGCGTTTGGAAACATCAGTTCGGAAACCGAGTACCCCGTGTATCGTTTTATCCTTGTTGTTTACCCGATGTTAAATAAAGATAAGATGATACACGGGGGTACCCAGGTGATATTTCCGAATGCAGCCATAAAATATATAATTCTATGAGCAACTATTTTTTTTTATTTATTTGTTAATTTCTTTTTTTTTTCAGAATTTAAATGATGATTTTAAAATCAAGAACATAATATGTTATTTCAATAAAGATATCCATGATTATTATATATTGGAAATATCCCCTTGGTTTCAGAAAATTACAAATATGAAAAACTTTTCTCTTCTTATGTCCGGTAAGTAATCACTAAGATTATTATAATGTAAGTAATCAATAAGATTATTATAATGATCATATAAATATTATTCATCAATAAAAGCTGTATTTCTTTTTAGCATTTTCTGATTACAACGAAAAGAATATCCTTAGATCTAAAATTCTACATAGTTTAGAAATACAGAAATATGCAAACACTGAGCAATGTACTCAGGAAAACGGAGGTATATTAGTATATGTACATTCATCTGTAGATACAGAAAAAAGCTATGTGGTATTTCAATGGACAATAAAATTTTTGGACTTGACGTGGCAAATTGAACATTTCTTTACAGTAAAGTCTACAGACATAGGTAAAAAATTATTTACCTCTTATTACTAAATAAAAAGAATATAGTGGTGATTTTGATTAAACTTTGATAAACTTTATCGACAATTAATATTTATAAATTTAATTGTCAAACAGTATGAGGACAAATCAATAAGTTTTTAGAAAAACATAGTAAAACACATTTTTTTTGATCGATTCATTTTTATTTCTCAACATAGTCTCCTTTCAGCTCGATACACTTGATCCAACGATTCTCCAACTTTTTCAAGCCGTCCGAATAATATGATTTGTCCAACCTTTCAAAATAAGCCTCTTTTTCGGCGATGAGCTGCTCTCTAGTGGTGAATGTCTTTCCTCCGATCCATTTCTTCAGGTTTGGAAACAGGAAATAGTTGCAGGGGGCTAAATCTGGCGAATATGCTGGATGAGGAAGCAATTCGTAGCGGAATTCGTTGAATTTGGCCATCGGTGCCGGACACGTGTCAACCCATGCATTGTGGAAGAGCACTTTCTTCTTCGCCAAATGGGGACGTTTTTTCTTTAAAATGTTATTGAAACGGTCCAGTAGCGCGTTAACCTATGGGCTTTTGGGACTTGAGCCCTAGGGCGCCAAAGTGCCAGAGGCGCCTGGGGGCGCCACAATTTAATAAATGAAAAAATTAAGTTATTTAAACAAGCGCATTTGTAATTTTTGCGATTTGTAAAAAATCATTGATAAATAGCTTCTGTTTAATAATATATGTATGTACTTTCGTTATCGTTATAACTCCGTAAAGTTTTTTTATTATGGTGAAAAAACTGCGGAATGGCGTTATAACGATAACGAAACTTGTTAAGAGTAATAGAGTAGTCCTGCACTGTTTTGTAAAAACGATGTGGCAATGACATAGCAATATTGTGTTCATGATGGTAGCAATAATAAAGGGTTGGGATAATCGGTTTTAAAAAAGAAGTTGGTACTATTATACGTTACTTTTGAAAAGTGATCTTCGCAACGCCGACACTACCGATTTTGTCATTTCTGTCATGGAAAATTAGGACCATCCTCTAAAACAAGATCAGAAAATCATGGAAGTAGTGTCTTATAAGGAGGGCGTTTAGAGATCACAAGCCCCTGGGCACAAATTTTGTTAACGCAGCTCTGAAACGGTCCAATAAGGTTGCGTAGTAATCACCATTGATCGTTTGCTTCGACGGAAGGTAATCGATATGAATTATACCGCGTGCATCCCAAAAAATTGTAGCCATCTTTTCCGACCGACTTCACGGTCTTCACCTTCTTCGGAACTAGTTCACCCGGTGAAGTCCATTGTTTTGACTGTTCCTTCTCGGGTGTGAAGTAATGGATCCATGTTTCGTTCACAATAATGAATTGACGCAGAAATTCATCTGAATTACGTTGAAACATCTTCAAACATTGTTTTGAAATTGTCACACGGTCGCGCTTATGGTCCACAGTGAGCAAATGTGACACCTATCTTGCCGATAGCTTTTTCATACCCAATTGTTCGTGCAAAATTGAAATCACTGTGCCATGTAATATGCCTGTGGCCTCAACAAGCTGGCGCACTTTCACTCATCGATCAATCAAAATAATATCGTGGACTTTATCGATGATTTCTGGCGTAGCAGCCTTAATTGGACGTCTAGAACGAGGTGCATCACATGTGGACCACGTTTAAATTCATTCACCCAATTGTATACAGTCGCAAATGCTGGTGCAGATGTGCTATGAACATTATCCAACTCTCTCGGCTTTGATTTCTTTCGATGTTAAACCTTTCATATGTAAATGTTTGATCACTGCACGAAACTCGTTTTTTTCCATTTTGCAAAAAATACAAAGGTTGTTCGCTTTAATCGTCTACAGAAATGAAACCATGCGATGAATTCCGCTCAAAATTTGACAGTAATCAGCTGAAAGATGCTATTTGTCAAAAAGTAATGTGACATGACACTGCGAGTGCCCTCTGACAGATTTTCTAAGGACTTCTTGACTTGCCCTCGTGTCTCCAATATTTTGTTAATATAGAATTATTAATTTTTTGTTATTTAACACGTGCATATACACATGCATAATTAGATTAGTTTAGGGACTACAAATTATATAATAAAAATTTTATAATTTCCGATTAAGTTAATCGCTAAAGTTAATTGTGGATTTGATCAAAATCATTCTATAAATGATAAAAAATACTATTAATTGATTTAGAAACGGAATTGATTTAGGAATGGAATTTTCTGAAGAAAATCGGTCTTTATTAAAAGAATTTTGCAAGTTTGGCTTGACGAAAAACACTCTTGTAGAATTATGGGAGAAATTGTGCATCGCTAGTGATGCTTATGCTGGAAAAAATGCCTGACAAAATTCATTATCTTTAATTACGAGATACTAAGAACTTATGATATCTGTTATTCCAATTATTTGAATAATTGTATGAATTTGAATGAAAGTATGTAAATATTTTATTAATAAATTTATATACAGGATGTCCGGAAAATCGCCCGCAATACTTTGGGAAGTGATTCAGAACTCAAAAAGAAGGACAAAAAGCTATATAAACATAGGTCCGGAAATAAGTCATTTCCTAGTCATAACCATTTTTATGTAAAAAAAATTGTAATTTATTTTTTATAATCACAATCATAATTTATGTCATAGTGTTTTAATATAAATAACTACATTTCGGACTATTTTGACGTTACCCAGGATGCACTACGTTGAAGCATCGTGCACTTGGCATCCCTCTAATGAAGTAAAAAAATTTTTAAATAAAAAAAGTATAAAAAAGAGGGACGTCAAACGGACCATGCCTCCACGTGGTACATTCTGAGCAACGCCAAAATAGTCCGAAATGTAGTTATTTATGTTAAAACACTGAAATATAAATTATGATTGCAATTATGAAATATAAATTACAATTAATCCGTATAATAAATCAAACTAACAAAGACTCCTTATAAATCAAAAGAAATTGGAAAGAATAAATTACAATTTTTTTACATAAAAATGGTTATAACTCGGAAACGACTTATTTCCGAACCTATGTTTATGTAGCTTCTTTCCTTTTTTTTGGATCCTGAATCACTTCCCGAAGTATTGCAGTCGATTTTCCGGACCCTGTATAGTTGTGGGTAAACCTTAACATAAGCCTCCTTCCCTACTTCCACTGTTGATAAAATTAGACCCATTTGATGCGTTTTTGCAAGAAATTTACGAATCTAGCTGATAAGATAATCATCTGAATGTTATATATTATAAGCGCAGAAAATTAACTGCGATATGAAGTCGAATCTATTAATTGATCAATGGTTTCTATAACTCACGCGTTCGTTTTTGTCTTATTGTTGTTTTGTCTCTCTTTCCTCTTTGGTCTTTGCAAGTATTTCCTTAGGGTGCCGTCACATGCGGCGTAACCTGCGTAAGCGTAACCTGCTTTCAACCATAGGATTTCAATGCTTTTGTTCATATTAATAAGGCAAGTTAGTATAAACGAAAGCATTGAAATCCTATGGTTGAGCTTTACCGGCACCGGCATAAGTTAACGGTTCCCTATAAGCGCAAAATGTTCCTAGAATGTTACATGAATATTATTAAAAAAAATTAAAATAATGTTATTATAATATTTCGAAAATATCATAAATATTTTTTTAATATTACAGGAGTATTCTA